ATAAACAAAACAATTGTCACTTTTATCTTGGCATGGTAGTAGTAGACTACTTTCGTTGCCCCTTCCCTCCCTTTTCCCCTTCCTAACGAACGAACCGGTTATAATCGACGGATGGTTGCATAATGGCGCCACGGCCTTGCTTGGCGCATGTTTCAGTTTGCGTTAATGTGCATCTGCAGCTCACTTCGACATAACTTAAAGAAAATTGAGGAACTGCCTTTGAATGATTTCCATTTGACTCAAGTTATTTTCAGAGACCTTCAAAAATGCGGAGCAAAAAGAATTCAGTGAAGAGGTACGTTCAGTTTTGATAACTTTTTCTTTTCTAAGTGAATTTTTTGCTTGGTCTAGCCAATTTTTCTTATCATGAAGGGGATGAATGATTTCATTGTTTTGTGTTGGTGCAGGAGACTCAATTTTGATATGTTTTTGTCGCTGTTATTGATCTCGCCAAGCAGTTTCGAGGAGTTGCGTGCGTTCAATGATGAACACCTTTGAACAGCGAGTAACAGTGAATTTAGGGATAATGTTCTCAAGCAATATCGAGATTCAAATGTCGCTATTTTCTCCTACATTCCCCTAATCCATTTTTGCAGTATTTCTGACAATCTGGTTGAGGGAGACCGAGAGGGAAGGGGAAGGAGGGGAGGGGTAAGAAGGTTGCCTGTCCCAAGTCATCTTTGCCTTATTGGAGCCTTAGATGAATTGAAAACAGCGTAATTCCTCTGTCCAATCAAGCGCTATTTTGTTTTAACGAAATGTTCACTACGAATCACCGATTGACATTTATAAAATACTCTTAGTTTTTTGAGATCTGTCGATATTATCACTTAAAGAATGCCTTGTACAGTGCTCACACGACGCGCAATGAGGATGTTTTGGTCTGCACGGCATCACCATCAGGTGAAAAAGAAAACCGTCAAACGGTGGATAAGGATGGTAATATCCCTATCACTGATGAGGCACAACGGTTATTTGATACCGTACAGATGCGAGTACAAGAGGTAGGGTAGTAAAAGTTTACTGACTTTTGAATTCTGGAATGACAGTTTTTTAAAATTAAAGTAGTATTTTTTTGCTGTCATACGTTCAGTGAATGAAATCTCGATTTAGAGCATTGACAAGACAATTAGAGAAATTGCGTCAACGATGAAAGAGCCCACAGAAGAACCGCGATGGCCGCTAGCTATTCGAATAGGTGAGGGACGAGAGGGATTAAATTCCTACCATTTTTTTTTGTTTGTTTTTGAAAGCAGTTGAGCAGTACCAAAATGGAGAATCTTCTCTTAATTTTTCCTTAATTTATGATAATCCACTCTTCAGCAAATACAGGATATCAGTTTCCAGGTTGTTATGAAATCAATACCTGGTATAGCGCTCCATACCCTCAAGAATACGCACATGTGCCGATATTGCATATTTGTGAATTTTGTCTCAAATACATGAAAACGGAAACGATACTGGCGCAGCATTTGGTAAGTTCGACATGATTAGAAGTGCAGTGTTCCTCTTTTCGTCGTATGGTCAGTTCCAGAAAATAGCGGCATCTCATGAAAACGTTTCTAAACCATAACCACCGTATAAGCACGAGTCAGTTAGCTTACCTCCTATCCGCATTTTGCAAGTAGTCACAGAAGTTTAAAAAACCAAAGAAGACAGAAAGAACATGAAGCGAAAATTTCAGCGTTTCAAAAGGTGCAATATATAAAAAAATTACCAAGGTTTTGGAATCATGTCATTTAAAGCTGCATGTGAAGTAAACAAGCTTCAGTAAATCTTACTTCAGAAAAAATGTGAATGGCGTCATCCGCCTGGAAATGAGATTTACCGAGATAAGAATGTATCTGTATTTGAGGTGGATGGGAATGTTTCAAGGTCAGTTTACATGACTTTTACGATTCAGTTGCCTTTACAATGATTGTCGTGGTTTATTTTTCTTCCACTTCACCATTTCGTCATTTATGTCTCAGGAATTTTTCGGGCCTGAACCATTTTGAACAAATCCATTTTCAGAATATATTGCCAAAATCTTTGCCTGGTTG